CTTGATGAGAGTGAGCTTCAGGGAACTGGCCCCCAGGGCCTGCTGGGAATGAAGCTCCCTCTCCTAAGGAGTGAAAAAGAGAGAGATTTGCTAATAGGAGTCCAGGGTGTGAGGTCAGTAGTAGTAATGACGCCTCCTATTACAAGCCTCTGCTATTTCACTGGCTCCCAAAGTGGGGGGAAGGTGCCCATTTTACAGATGAGGAAACTGAGGCCTTGAGAGGTCACGTAACAGCCGCTGTCATCGCCTGTGAGTGGCAGAGTTCAGAACTCCAGCCCAGTGAGTGCCCTCCCTTCTGCCCTGCCGTAATTTATGCTATTAATTTGTGCCCGAGATAATGTGTGGGTGTGGCTGACGGCCAGCATGGTTCTGATTCTTCCCCTCTCCCTGTAGCCATGGCTTTTGCCATGTACCTTTGCCAGGGCCTCCCGGGAGGAAGATGAGAGCTGTGTGGAGCTGAGCTGCCCCGGCCAGACCCAATCTTGGTCAGCCCACCCTCAGCTGATCCCTAGACATGTAAGTGACTCACACCCAGGAGTATGAGCAGTAAAACCTGTCACTGGATGCCACTGAGGGCTTGTGGCTGGTTGTAAAGCAGCGTTATTAATTACCCCAGAGTAGCTGATACAGTAGGGGAAAGCTTTGTGAGTGTAATAATTCTCCTCTCAGGTTTCTGTCCACGTGGGCTTGTTGCCAGCTTCGCTCAGGCTTGTCAGCACACCTACAGTTTCCTCCCCTCCCCGGCAGGACCACTAGAGGAATCAGTGTGTAGGGGGTCCTTGAGATTTGGGGATTAATGGCAGAATAACTTGGTAGGCAGTCACACAGTCTCTGGAGTCAGACTACTTGGGTTTAAGTCCTGGTGCCCCGTTGCTAGCTGTGCGATCTTGTGTGAGTTTTGTTTTGCTTTTTTTTTTTGGAGCAGAGAAAGGCTTATTGCAGGGCCAAGCAAGGAGAATGGGTGGCTCATTCTTAAAAAGCCCAAATTCTCGGATGGTTTTCAGGAAGACTCTTTATAGGCAAAATTTAAGGGGAGATTGAAGGGGATAGCTCAGTGGTCAAGCACATATTTAGCATGCACGAGGTCCCAAGTTCAATCCCCAGAACCTCCATTAAAATAAATAATTTAAAAAATTTGCAGGGAGGGCTGCTGGGCGTGTAATGGAGGGTAGTGAGCAGCGAGGCAACAGGGTGGCGTTTCAGGAATCTCAGTCATCAGCCTTCTGGTTCCAACCACTGGGTCCATGTGCTTGTGTTCAGTCTGGAGTTATCATCCTCCACCCGGGTGGGTGGGGGCTTAGTTCCTATAGAAGAACTCAGAGATATGTATCAACTTGGGCAAGTTTTTAAACCCCTCTGAGCCTCGGTTTCCTCATCTGTAAAGGGGGATAATCAGGTTTGTGGTTATTAAACGAGATTGTGGATGTGAGGCCCCTGGATGGTGCCTGGCACACAGATTACCAAGTGCTCAGTACACACCAGCCATGGCGACTGCATTAAACACACAATGGCACTCCAGTAGTCATTGGCGTACGTGGCTCTCAGCCCCCTAGGCCAGGGGAACCCCTGCCAAGGTAGAAAGTGGAGGTGGAGGGTTGGTGCCTAAGTGCCCACTCTCCCTGGCTTCCAACCACTGGTTTGTGACCTCCTAGACAAAGTCCATCAATCCTTGCTGTCACCCCAGCCAGATCCCAGGGGGTCCTTCCTGACCCCTCCCTTGCTTCTCCCTGACACTCCCAACAGTGTACTTTAGATTTTGCCAGAAGGGAGGAGGGATGGTGTACTTATTTCCTATTGCTGCTTTAAAAAATGATCACAAGTGATCATAAATGCAGTGCTTGAAACTTAGAAATGTATTCTCTTACAGCTCTGGGGGTCAGAGGCCCACAGTCAGTGTCACTGGGCTAAAGCAGGGCTGGTTCTTCCTGGAGGCTCTAGGGGAAAACCCTCCCCTTGCCCTTTGCAGCTTCTAGAGGCCACCTACATTCCTTGGCTTGTGGCCCCTTCCTCCTCCATTGACAAATCCAGCAGCATAACATCTTCAAACCTCCCTGTGACTCTGACCCCCTGCTTCCATCCTCACCTCTCCTTCTGAGTAATCCCCCATCTCCCTCTCATAAGGGTACTTGTGATTACACGGAGCCCACCAGGATAATCCAGGCTAATCACCCCATCCTAAGATCCTGAAATGAACCACAGCTGCAAAATCCCTTTTGCCGCAGTAAGGCGATGCATTCACAGGCTCTGGGGATTAGGGCGTGAACATCTTTGGAGGGCTATCCTTCTGTCTAACCAGGTCGGCATTGAATCTTGGACATAACAGCAGATCTTGTCACTGAATCTGAGAATTTTACACTCTTGTTGAACAAACAGAACTGTGGCTTATGTCTCATCATTTATTAACTAATAAAAAGTAGTTTTGATAATCCAATCACATTCCCAAAAGTCTATATAGATTTGGGACTGGGAGGGCTGTGTTCAATACTCCACGTGGGCAACTTCAATAATTGCTGAATTATTACTGGACCCTTCTCTCCTCTCCATCTATAGCTTGTTGGTTGGGGCCACATTCATTTTGGCCTAGAATATTGCAGCAACCACACAGCTGGCCTCCCTGCCTCTACCCTGGCCTGCTCCAAAGCATGCTCTGTCTAGATGTCAGATGAATGCTTGAGTGTGAACGTCTGACCACCGAGATCACTTCTCTAAGACGTTTCTACAGCTCTCTATTGCCCTCAGAATGAAGTTCCAACAATTCCCTACCATGGCTACAAGTCCTTCTATGAAGACTATTTCTCACTCTCTGGCCACATCTCTTGCCCCTCTCTGTTAGGGTGACCCACCATCCCAGTTTGCCTGGGACTGTCTGGGTTTTAGCACAGGAAGTACCACTTCTTGGAAAATTACTCAGTACCAGGACCACTGGTCACCCTATCCCTGCCCTGTGTCTTCTGCTCTAGCAACACCAGCTGCTTGGAGAGTCTTCCAAGCAGTCACTGTGAGTCTGCACGTGCCCCTCCCTTGGCTGGGAATGCAAGCTCTTATGTTTATCCCCCAGGGTATCCGTTAGGAGTGTGCTGAACTGCGAGTAACTGAAAACCTGACTATGGCAGTTAAAACAAATGCAGGTTTATTTTTTCCACAACACTAGACGTTCAGAGAACAGTTGTTGGCATCAGATCTAGTACTTGATGATGTCCAAGCTCATATCGCTGTAATTCTCTTGGCCATGATATGGCTGCCTTCACTCCAGGCATCACATCCATATCCATATTCAGCATAGAACAGTAGAGCATGGTGGTCAAGAGCATGGGCTCTGGAGCCAGATTACTGGAGTCTGGACCCCAGCTCCGTCACCTCCCAGTTAAATCACCTTGGGAAGTCACTAACCCTCTCTAGCCTTAGTTTTCTCATCTGTGAGATGGGGTTGATGTTAATAACAACCTACCTCTTAGGATTGTTTTGGGGATTAAATGAGGTAATACACGTGAAACCTGTAGAACTGCGTGTGGTACAGAGTAAGTGTTTGAAAAGTGTTAGCTATTCCTCCATCATTATAACTACAAGGACCCTGGGGACAGGAAGTATTTGGCATTTGTAGTCTCCAATATAGAGACAGCTATAAAAGGAGGTGGCTGGGGATGAAAGGTCAAGCAACCAGCAGAATCTTCTTTACTTGGGTGCCCTCTATTCAAATTTAAAGACTCAGCTTGGGTATCACCACCTCTAGGAAGCCAACCTGGACTCCTCCCACCAGCTGACACTGGTTTAGGTGTCCCATTCCTATGCTCCTGGACTGTAGTCCTACCTTCACCCTTATGCTAGGGAACTCAATGATCTGTGTATGGGTCTGTCTTGTGCAGAGCAGGGGTCTTGTCTGGACCCTCCCTGGATTCCCAGGGCTGAGCTGGTGCTGGAACCTTGTAGGCCCCATTGCTTGTTGAGTAAATAAAGCTTTTTTGAGAATGGGCTTGGCGTCATGCGGTGTGGGAGGTACACCACGGTCCCACCTCCAGGAACCCAAGTCTGACAGGGAAACTGGACAGCTCACAGGCCAGCCAGAGGCAGCTGGGGTTGGTGGCTTTCCTAGGGGGCGTTCAGAGGCCGGGGTGGCCTCCCTCCCTCTGTAGAGCAGCACATTCTCAGGGGTGCCTGGACCAGGGACCCTGTGGTCAGGGGTTGGGGTTCCCACTGCGACTGCACCTCACTGGACACTGGGTGACTCTCTTTTTTTGGCCTCACTCACCCTCCAGGCGGCCTCAGGAGTAGAGGGCCCTTCCCTGAGCGTTGGGCTCATGCATCACAGGCCATCTGTTTGTGTGGCCTGGCCCAGCTCTTCCTGTTCCAGGGTCTCAGTTTCCCTGCCTGTTTAGCACAGTGCAAGCTTTTCCACCTCTGACCCACTGTCACGATGTGCGGAAGCCAACGCTTTCTTCAAACCTGCACCCACCCCTCCCCGCCGCCGAGGGCTGGACTGGGGTCCCCTCCTCCACTGTACCCACCGTGCACAGCACAAGGCTGGCTTGACAGGCTCATTAAGCACCTCTTGACTCAGAGAGCCCAGGCCGACCCTGCCTGGTGGGTGGGCCCTGCTAGGGAGCCTCTTCCTCAGCAGCCAGCGGCCTTGCTCCTCTAGCCGGCCTCCCGGGGCTGGGGAGACTGTCCTCGGGGAGACTACATTCTCCACCTGCAGCTGGGGCTGGTGGAGCCTGAGGACCCACCAGACCCCCTGTGCAGGCAGGATCAGGAAGAAGGCGATTTGATCAGGGCCTGTTGGTTCACAGCTTATGAGATGTTGAGGGACGAGTGTCTGGAGTATCCTTAACTCATATCCCCTTGGGCACCAGGTGGCTTCCTGGGAGCCCCCCTCCAGCATCCTCAGCAGCTCCCTCCAAGGCCTAGCCAGCCTGGCTGAGGCTCTGTGCATCCCTGGTGTGGACCGGGGCAGCCTGGAGAGCCCGGAACCCGCAGAGGGCGTGCAAAGCAAGAATGCAGGCGGCTTAAGGGGAAAGGAGCTTTATTGCGGGTGCTGGGATTTGCGGTCTTGGCTCCCAAGGATGAATCACAGCTGTAATTTCTGGAGGAGCAGAGAACAGAGTGAGGGACTCTGGGAGGCACAAGTTTCTGCCAGGAGGGTAGGAACAGGGGACACGGCAGACAGCCCCGGGCCTTGCCAAGCTAGGCTGGTCTGGCTTCCTCATCATTTCAGACCACTGTGCATGTGGGTTCAGGACACATCCTGCTCCCGGGGTAAAGCCCTCAGCCCAGGTGACCCTCTGTCCCCTCACCCTTAAGACATATACGGCCAACCACGTCATCCCCTCTCCTTTGCTGGGCCTTGCTCTCCTGGGGCCACGTTTCACTCTAGGGAGCACTGGTGTGGAGCCTGGGGTCAGGACATAAGTATGAAGCTAATGGATGAAGGGGTGGGGAAGTTAATGACCGTGATCTCCACTGCAATCATCTGGGCACCTGTGTACAGTCAGCACTTAATCAACACTTCTTGAACGAGTGAGTGAGTGGATGGATGAATGAACAATGAGGGAAGAGTGAGAGAGGGTGAGGGGTCGGCGGGTGTGGGAAGGAGGGCTGGGAAGCACACCCACCTCGTTGATCCAGTCGATGTAGGCGGACACACGGGTGAAGACCGTGGGCTTCTTGAGGGTGTTGCAGCCCAGCCCGGAGCCGAAGCTGACGATGCCCCGCACCTCCCAGGTGCTGCGGCTCTCGGCCTTGCAGTTCAGTGGGCCGCCCGAGTCCCCCTGCACCAGACCAGGTAGGTGTGAGAACGAGGCTCGGGAAGCTGCGGCCAGTCAGGGTGGGGTATGTGGATTGGCCTCTCAGCCTTGGGACCCCCTGTTTTGGCCTCAGCCTGTCTGTAGTGAGGGAGGCAGAGAAGACGTGGTTTGGGGTGACTTGGCCTCATTCTGGGACGCCCTGGGGTGTCAGACTAGCTCTTGGTTTGCTGTGTGATCTTGAAATGAGAACCCTCTCTGTGCCTTGGTTCCTCTAGCTGTTCAGGTCACCATGCCCAGGATTCTGAGCTGCCCAGAGAGGCGAGGGTGCTGGGGTCTGAGCTGGAGACCCAGGAAAATGAGGAAGGAGGGAGTAGGGAGAGGGCCGTGTGTTTGAAAACATGACAGTCCCTGATTGTCCTAGATGTTTCTCAGTTCTGTGTCAGAGACCCCGAGTCCTCTGTCTCCCTGGACCAGTGGGGCTGACGGTCTGAAGGCACCTGTGCTCAGACTTCAGTGAAGTCTCTTCTATGTGTGTTAGACTCACTTAGTCCTCACAGCAGCCCTGTGCTTACTCTTGCTCCATTTTATAGACAGGAAAACTGAAGTTCAGAGAGGTCAAACAGCCTGCCCAAGGTTGCACAGCTGCTAAGTGGTGGGACCGGGACTTGGACTCAGAGACTCACGTTCAACTCACCTTCAGCTCTCGCCATGGTGCTGGTGGGGGAGGGGAAGGGGGACAGTGACAGGTTTCTCCTAAGCCTTCTGGGCCCAACCAGCGCTCAGGTTCCCCCCCCCCCAGGGAGAGGACTCCTATGGGGTCTGCCCGCTTCCCACTCCTCGGCCCTCCTCACGGGCCCGTCCGCTCGGCCACCTACAGGAGGGATGGGGCGCGGCGCCTTGACACTCACGTTGCAGGCTGAGATGACGCCGTCGCCCCCGGCGCACACCATGGTGTCCCTCACCGTGCTGCCCCACCAGTCTCTCTGGGTACACGTGTCATGGTCCACTATGGGCTGCAGGCCCTGCTGGAGCTCGTCGGCAATGGGGCCATTGGCTGGCGAGAGAGCCGGTGGTGACCGGGGGTCAGCCCAGGCAGCCCCAGCTCCAGTCCAGCCCCAGGCCTCCAGGGAACAGAGGACTGGGTGGGGCCGGGGCAGGCCCTGGGCGAGTTCTGGCTAGACTTTGTGGGCCCCACATACAGGCCCTTAATGGAGAAGCGAGACTCTGAGCCAATGGTCCCAAACTGTTAGGGGTAGGGACCCCTCCAAGGGCGGGGAAGGGAGAGCAGGCTGGAGGCAGAACCAACCGGTGGAAAACCCTCAGGGAGTAACCACTGAGTTGAGTAGTCTTTCATTTGGCTTCTGGGCTTTTACCTGTCAGTCATTTCCATGCAGTGCTCTGCCCTTGGTGTCACCCACTTAAAGGTCTTTCCCACCCCTACATTTTCCAAGTATTGATCTGCATTTTCCTCTAAGTTTTCTGTAGTTTTGTTTCTTTGCATTTAACCTTTTAATTCAGCTGGAATTTATCTGGGATGCGGCACACCAGGAGACCTGATCCCCCACCCCACAATGATTAGTTTCACTTATTTAATAGTCACTCCCATGACACTTAGTGTGTGTCTGGCCCTGCTCTAAGCCCTTGACAAATTCTAATCCATTTAATTCTCATAACACCCGTTGTATACACCTGTTAGAGTGACTGCCACAGGGCATGTGCTTAATAAATGCTGTAAAGTTTAAGAAGATGTGAAGACGTTTAGGCCAAAGGGAAAACTGGTAGGCAAATGCGGGCAGTGTATTTATTGTGGGAGCCGCTTCCTCCAGGAAGGCTCTCATGATTTGCCGGGGGCGGGTACTCACTCCAGAGGCGGCCCCAGCCCGTGACGTAGCAGGGGTAGTCCTGAGGCAGCAAGGAGCCCTCCTTCGGCAGGCATGCCACCTGGATGGTGTCACTCAGTTCCACAGACTCCGCCAGCTTGATGACGGCAATGTCGTTGCTGGAATCCAAAGTGGACGTGGTGAATGGCCAGGAGGGCTCTGGTCGCCCAAGCCAGTGCTAAGAAGCCTGGGCTGTGAGTTGGGGGTCAGACCAAGTGTGACCAGGGGTCCTCTGTAAACATCCTGGACCGCCAGCTTCTTACTGGCAGACAGAGATGCTTGGGGACAAATGATCCAGCTTCTAACACCATCACCTGCCCCATAGATGTAGCTTCTTCCCCGACTTGTGTCTTCACGTCATGAAAGGCTTAACAGAGGGGACAAGCACAAAAGTATTCCAAGGGGTGTGCGTGAAATTAAACTAAAGCAAATTGGAAATGATAATGATAAAGATACTTGCAGATGCAATTTTCAATGTTCTCATGTTGCCAGAATAAAAGCGGACAGCCCTAGAGAGACTTGATTTGATTCCTAGTTCTGCCACGTATGTACTGAGCTGTGTGACTTGGGACACATCCCTTAACCTCTCTGATCCTCAGTTCCTTGTGTAGGGCTGTTGTGAGGCTTAACTAGGAGATGGCATATAAATTGTGTATTGCAGGCATGCAGTAGGCATCAATAAAGATGAGTGCTGGCTCATCCTCTGGCTGAGAGACTTCAGGCAAAATACTGCAGGGGCCTGGGGGTCTTTATTCCCTGTGTACTTTCCAAGGACCCTTGACCAATGACGGGGGTGGGAGGGGTATCTGTCTCCACTTAGCATTTAGCCGTTTTGGGTAAAGACGTCATCTGTTGGCTGTTCGGGGTGAGGATGGGATGGGGTCCAGGGACAGGCTCCAGCTCCGTCTCAGAGACCCACCCTTCTTCTGAGCTGCCCCAGGGGCCATGAGACTGTCCACTGGGCACTCACCGAATCAGAAACGAGTTCCAGTTCTCGTGGACATAGATGGTATCCACATCCACGTACACGGAGCCTTCCTCATCTTCCACCTCCAGGTTGTTCTTCCCCAGGCCCACGCGGTAGGTCAGGGTGTTGCTGAACAGAGCAAGGGGACCAGTCAGGGTGGCCTCCTGCCTCCACTGGCCAGGGGGGTGGACAGGGAAGTGGCCGTCACGGCGGGAATGGTTTGGGAAAAGGGAGTGTTCATTCTGTCGACCCTTCCCAGGGCACGGGATAAGGACCCTGCTCTTGGAGTCAAGTCCACTTTGACTCCTAGGTGGTTGGGCTCAGGCCTCACTTCCCTCGTCTGTAAGGCGGAGATAATTTTGGAAGTCCCCTCCCAGGGCTGCTATGGGAATGAACCAGTCCACATTGCTTCTGGCCTGTGTGATCTTGCCTGCATTGCCCTCTAACCGCCTCCTCCTCTCCCCTCTCACAATCTGTTCCTGCCACACCGGCTTCCACCTGATTTCTCAAACATACCAACAGGCTCCCACCTCCAGGGCTTTGCATTGGCTATTCCCTTCACTGGGAACACTCTTCCCCTAGACCAAAGATTTCTTATCTTAGTTCCTTCAGGTCTTTGCTCAAATATCCCCTTTCCAGAGAGAGCTTCCCCGACCACGTCATTTAAAATAGAAGCCCTCACACTTTTTATCCTCTTCTTGCCTTATTTTCCTTCATTGCCGCTTAATACATCATATATTTACTCATTTAAGGGTCTGTTGCTCTGCCTTCCACTAGAATATAAGCTCCCTGGGAGCACAGATTGTGTCCTCACTGCTGTGTTCCCCGGCACATAGTAGGTGCACAAAAAATACTTGTTGGATGAATAAATGAGCAACCGAGTTACTGGATATGAGTAGCTTATTCAGCCCAGCGCCTGGAGTGGATGCCAGGTGCTCAGTGAAAGCATCGTTGAGTTCCCGCTCCAGGTGATGGTGGGCTGTCTGTGCGTTCGCCCATCCCGTTCACCTGATGCAGTGAGCAGCTGTGAGGACATGACTGGGGCTGATCAAGGTGCCACCGCAGGTGTGCTTCCACGTGCCACTACTGAGGTACTGGAGGGAGATCTGGAGGAGGAGGTGGAAGGGCCACATGTCAGCCCCCGGGACCCTCTCCCCACCCCTCTCTCCACCCTGCCTCCCACACCTGCCGCAGCGCACTTACCTGCCAGGGCCAGCTGTGGGGAATGGCACTGTCTCCTCCCACTACTCGGGCTGATAGGTTGGGCGGGAAGCGGGGGACCCCGCAGCTGGAGGCTGGGGGAGACAGGAGAGGGAAATCACAGGTGAGCCAGGCTGGCATTGCTTTGGGGAAGAGACAGGTGGAAAGGGCGCAAATTTGGGAGCTGGACAGACGTGGGTTCAGCTTTCACTGTATGACTTTGGGGAAGACATTAGGTTCTCTGGCCTTAACTTCCTTTTCTGTGAAATGGGAAGAATAGCACTAACCTGGTAAGTTTGTCCTGAGTGCTGAATTAGATGATGCACGTATTCAGCTTAGCAAAAGGCCTGGTGCAAAGGGAATGCTTAACACACTGAAGGGAAGTCAAAGGAGGCTGGCGGGTGTGTGAGGGCCCAGGTACACCTGTGTCCTTCATCCTCACCCCTTTTAGGCCATAGCACATAGAGGGGTATGAGAATTGAATCCACAGGGTTCCAGACTGTCATAGCCGGGGAGCTGGGTGGAGCGGTCAAGAGCGTGTGCTGGGCAGCGAGACAGGCCCAGAGTCAGATTCTGGCTCTGCCACTAGCCAGCTGTATGGTCTTGGGCAAGATACTGAGCGTCCCTGAGCCTCGGGGTCCTCATCTGGAAAACGGAGGCATTGGCAGACCTTGCCTTTCAAGGTTGTTGTGAGGCTCAAATTAGCTCCTGAATGTCAAAGGCTTAGCACAGTGCCTGGCACGTAGCAAACAAGAATGGCCATTACTATTACTGTTGTTGTAATTGTTACCTGGAGGACTCTTAATCAAGTGCTCTCATTTGCCAAAACAGCCAGTGAGCTTTAGAGAGTGGCTTGTCCAGATCTGCTGAGAGTGAGTGACATTCAAGCCAAATTCCTTGATTTCCAGTCTGGGAGAGAACCACCAACTTGGGGGAGCAAAGAATCCCCAAAGGAGAGAGGCTGATGCTGGGAAAGATAGGCCCCAGGGTGACCCAAGGTGAGGCACCTACTATGTCCTGGGGCTCGCTCTGTGCTTTCCCCGCCTCATGGCTAATCCTCACCCTGGGGAGGTCGGAGCATCAGGCCTCTTTTGCAGATAAGGATGCAGAGATGCCCAGCAGGCAAGCAGCTCGTCTGATGCACAGCTGGTTAGTATTATCTGAACCCACACTGGATCCCAAAGCTCCTTTCCTAAAGTCCTGGAGAGCAGGGGTCCCCTGCCCTGTCCTTGTCCCCAGGAGGCCAGCTGCTGGCTGCAGCTGGTCCCCAACCCACAGCTTACCTTGACCCACAGCTTACCGTAGGCCAGGAGCGCGGCAAGGACTGTGATGCCCAACATGCTGTGCGTGCTCAGGACCGAGTGGCTGTCAAGGTGGCCAGGGGTGCACTTATAGGCAGGAGTGGGGTGGGCTCACCTTGTCAAGGCTGAGACACCCCTTGGAAGAAACCTGTTCTGCCAAGGCCCTTTCCCTGACCTTGGGTGGTTACTGTTTAATCTAGGCAGGAGATGGGGCTGGCTCGGAGGCCTGGAGTTCCCAATTATCCTGAGACAGAGCAAACCCTGAGGTTTGCAGGTTTGGGGGGCCCCGCCACTCTGCTTGGCCTGACTCATTCTTTTTAGTTGTCGTTTATTGAGCACCTACTATGTGCCAGGTACTATGCTTAATTCTTCTTGCAATCACTTAATTTCTCCCAACGGCATGAAGTAGACGCTCTTGTCCCCTCATTAAAGATGACAAAGCTGATTCCGCCAGTGCACACAGGACTGGAAGCTTCCACTTTCTCTCTCTAAGAACTCTTGCTCTTGGGCCGCTGTCCCCGGGAGCCCAGTCTCTGCTGTGAGAAAACCGAGCCGTGTGGAGAGGTCAGGAGCACAGTCTGGTCCACGGCCCAGGTGAGCTCCCAGCCACCCAGCCGTATCTCCTGCCAGCCGTGTGAGGGGGCCTGGGGAACCTTCAGATGATGCCACCCCAGCTGCCATCCCACTGAAGCAGCACAAGAACCGCTAAGCAAGAGCCACCCAGCTGAGCCCAGGCAACCCCCAGAACTAGGAGAGAGAATACTAAGCGATTGCTTGAAATCACTAAGTTTAGTGATAGCTTTTTACACGGCAATAATAAACCCAACTGGTTCTATGATAATCTCTTTTTTTAAATTTACCTTCCTGGGGGAGGGTATAGCTCAGTGATGGAGTGCATGCCTAGCTAGCAGGCATGAGGTCCTGGGTTCCATCCCCGGTACCTCTATTAAGAAAACAAGTAAATATATAAACCTAATTACCTCCCCCACACAAAAAAATGTTTTTTAATTTGCCTTCTTTTTAACTGAAGTATTCTCAGTTTGCCATGTTGTGTCATTTCCGGTGTGCAGCATAACGCTGCAGTCATACATATACGTACATAGATTCCTTTTCATACTCTTTCTCACCATAGGTTACTACAAGGTATTGCATATAGTTCCCTGTGCTGTACAGAAGAAACTTGTTGTTTATTTACTTTATAGGTAGTAGTTAGTCTCTGCAAGTCTCGAACTCCCAATTTATCCCTTCCCACCTCCTTCCTGCCCGGCAACCATAAGTTTGTTCTCTATGTCTGTGAGCCTGTTTCTGTTTGGTAAATAAGTGACGATAAAAAGCAAAATGTCATCTTAAAATAGACTAAGTCCCTTGAGGGCAGCAGCCGTGTTTATCACTGCCAGTTCCTTGTGTTAAGCACAGTGGCTGGCATATTTGTTCCATCCAAAATTCTTCTTGAGCAGCTACACGTGCCAGGCCTGTGCTGGGCCCAGGGATACAAGACAGCACAGTCCCTGACTTTGTGCGGAGGGCACAGACATTCACCTGATAAAGACCACACACACACACACACACACACACACACACACACACTCACTCCAGTGGAAGACGGAGCTGAGACTCCGAGGGTCAGGAAGGATGGGCCACAACAGAACCAGGATTTGAAGTCAAATGCTTCCTTCTCTGCCTTTGTAGCTCTTTATTGGCTTCCTGACTTTGTCTTTTCCCCTCATTCAACTAATATTTTCTAATCTTGGGGTACCCTCTGCCCTCCAGCACCTCCTCCCCAAGCTGTGGACAAAGGCTGAGGCCCAGGCACACCCTGGAAGGTGCTTGGTTGGCCAAATTCCTATGTGGAGCCAGGTCAGTTGTCTCCCTGCAGGACCCTCAGTCTCCTGTCTCTAAAATGGGCGGGTAGGGCCAGCTCAGGCTCCTTTCAGTCCTAAGATTCCATGACATGGATGTCAAGGTCGAGTGCAGATCTGGGTTTGTGGTGTGTGCCCAGAGGTTCCACCAAGCACCCGGCAGTTTTGGGGAGCGTCTGATGTATCCTGTTTGGCCCGAGGCCTGACTTCTCCTTCTCCTCCTCCTCCTCCTCCCCCTCCCCTCCCCTCCCCTCCCCTCCCCTCTCCTCTCCTCCTCAGAAGTTGTTCTCTGAGCCGAGCCTACTGGTCACCTTAGGAATTATTTCCCAATAAAGGAATCCAGAACGCTCTGCACGCTGCCAGTCATGGTGGTGATGGGGGGCGGAGGAGGACTCCAAATCACATGTTTTTACAGTTCACATCCTTTTTAAAAATAAGCATGTGTTACTTTGCACGCATAAAAATTAGTAACGTTTTGATTAAACAAGCAGCAACAGAGAGACAGCGAGTGTCAGGGAGTGGGGAGGGGTCTGCCCTGCTGTGATGACCTCGGGCCCCAGACCTGGGGCGTCTGGGGGACCTCAGGGAACTTTCTGTTGCGTTCTAGAGGTTGGACAGTGGCTGCTGCCCACCACGCCTCAGATGCAGAGCTATTGGTCACCAGACTCTGCAAAGGGTCACCCTGGCTGGGGACTAACATCATAAAGAGATTGGGGCTGAGCTAGGGGGGTCTTGGGGGTTGGCAGGGTTTGAGAGGCAAGAAACAAGACAACTGATTTCTGTCTCAGTCAGTGACTTGCTGGACCCCAGACCTTGGGCAACCTCTTTGGGCCTCAGTTTCTCTTGAACAACTTGGGAAAGTGATTAATTGGATACACAGGTGTACAGGGACACATACACACATGCGGGCCTCTGTATCCCCCGGTGTGCACACATCAGTGTCACACACAGAAGGCATTCCGTTGTACGCAGTCAGCTGCGGAGCCATGATCCACACACTCAAATATGCACCCAAATATAGAAATAGCCACAAATGCACAGGCACACAGGTGGAGATAAAGAGTCACTGTTTTTCATTTTTGGAATATTCCCAGAGAAACTGACCTTTTTTGGAGAAGGAGGTTGCTGGCTGCTCTGGGAGGTGCAGACGGCATCAGCTTTTAGGGGAAATTCCTTGTTTTGAGACATTTACCAGCTGGGGTCCTTTACCTAAGGCAGCACCAATAATTGTACTTGGAGAAAACTGAGGTCACCTTCTTCTGCTTCGGATGCTGAAGATGGGATGTTGAGTGCTTTGCCATTGCTTCCTAGCTGTGTGACCTTGTGCTAGTGACTCAACCTCTCTGGGCTTCTATACCCTCATCTGTAAAATGGAGGTAAAAAAAACGGTACCTGTCTCCTAGGGCTATTGTGAGGAGTGCCTGGCATACAGCAAGCTCCCTGTAAGTGCTGGTTTGTTACTATTATTGTTGTTGTTGTCATCTGATTCTCATGTGAGCTGTCACTGAGTCTGGACCATCACCGGGCCCTCTTACAGTTCGGGGGCCTTTCCTTCATTCAAAAATATTGAAAATTATGTTTTAAGACTTCATGGGTATAGAGACTAATATAATCCAGTTTGGATTCTATTTGTTTTTTTCCCTGGTGATTAAAAAAAAAAAACCAGAACATTTTTGTGGGCCTTCAAGGTATCGCGGGCTCCAGGCACGCTGTGCCCACCGTATGGACAGACAGCTGGGCCCTGGCTGTGGTCCCTCCTCATGTCAGGTTGTGTACAACTAAAGGGCTGAGAGAGACTTTGGGGAGTGTTCTGTGATCATCGTGAACATCTTTTATGGGCCCTAGAGATGCCTTTAGCTGTGCCCTGGGGTAGCCAGGGGGAAAACTGTTCTCACCGTGAGCAGCTGGGCAGAGGTGGGAGCTGCCTCTGCGCGTGGGCACAGCTAGTGCCAACCCGCTCTGACCTGGCCCTGGTGCAGGGAGCAGTTGGTCAGAGGATGCTGCTACTCCAGGGGCTCAAACTGCCTAAAGTTACAGCGGTGACATTGGTTAGTTGACCTGATTTTCTGGTCATGTAACCAAGACTGAAGAAGCAGCCCAGGAGGGCTGGCAAGTAGCAGCTGAGGGGGAGCCCTGGGCGAGTGGATTTCCTGTGGTTGGAGGGCAGGGAGCTTGGGGTTAGATGGACTTGAGTACTTAGAAATGTGACTCTTTAAAAAAAAAAGTGATTCTTTTGCCTGCGCAGACTGTGAGGCACTGACTTATCAGGTACGCAGAAGTCATTCATTCATTCATTCATTTATGCATTTCTCCCACAATCGCTGAGCAGCTCCTGTGTGTGGGTGGTGTGCTGGGGCTGGAACCACAGAGATAATAAGACTCTGTTCAGCACCACTGGAGCTCCCTGCTGGGCAGGGTGATAAGTGTTCCTTGCAGTGTTCTGGGCCACGAGCTGGGAGCCCCTGCATGAGAAGAGATTAGTTCTGGGTGGGAGCTTGATGGGGTACAGGTGGGAGAGAGTCCCTTCTCTGCAGATTCCATGCCCGAAGTGAACTTGAGGACTTGAGAGTGTGAGGATGCTGGAATCCCCACCCCTATCCAGGGCCTGGAGTGGGGCCTCCCAGGATATGGGCACTTAATGTCCCCCAGCCATTCAGGGCCAGACTGCGCGGGAAAAATAACCATGCGTGACTTACTTGGCAGAGGCTGGGGTCAGGTGAGGGCAATGTCAGGAGAAGCAATGCCAAGGCTGGGAATTGGGGGTGGTGGTGGTGAGAGCCTGAGAAACAGGGCAGGTGCCACTGATACAGCCCCTAATTTTTGGTTGCTGGGACAGCACTCTCGGGTGGCAGCTGTTACATCTTGGATGAAGCCCATGAAGGAGGGCTGGCAGGGTTTCTCCTCAAAACGAAATGAAAGGACTAGGCATTCAGAGAGAGGGTTTGGGCGCTGAGTCGGGGGTTCGGGACTCAGCGGGAGGAAGGCTTACTGAGGGGATGGGACGTGGGCAGGCTTATAAGGGCTCAGTCTCCCTTTCCCACTCTTAGTCCCTCTTCGTTCCTCGACCCGCGTCCTCTGCCTGGGCTGGGAGCCGGGGGGGTCTTGTGCAGGGCAGGCTGGGGGCCCCTCCCACCTGGATCTGTTGGTGGAAGGCCTGGCATGGGACTACTGGCTCCTGTCTCTCACATGCTAAGGGCCCGAGGCTCACATCCACTGCCGGGCCAGCTGGGTGGGGGCTCTGGCGTTGGAATTTTAGGGTTCCCTATTTGCTAAGTTGTCAGGGATTCTGATATTCTTCCCTTGGGAAGGCAACTGAAAGGCAATGCTTAACCCATGTGGTGGTAATGATGGTGGCATCTCAGGCAGCAGGTGGCAAGTGGGGGTGGAAGGAAATACACTTCAAAGACGCAGCCCTCTCCAGGCAGGGCCTATAAGGAAGCCAGTGGGGGAGGGCATCCTGGATGCTGTAGTACCATCCATGTCCACCTGGGGGCAGTGGTATACAACCTAACGCCAAACTATTGCACCCTGCCCCCTCCACTGCCACTCAGGTTGCATCTGGGAGAGGGGGGCACCCTACCTGGAACCCAAAGGACTGGGAAGACCTTGAGACCTTAGCCCATCAGAGGGACCCAGTGGGAGCCTGGTCTGTCCAAAGTCACACAGGGTGCACACTTTCCTTGGCACCCTACCACCCCAGCCTGTGTGATGGAGGGGCTTAGGGTGTATCTGTGTGTAGGGGAAGAGTCTTGGGGGCTCTAGAGTGCAATCCAGAATCTGTGGCCTTGGTGCCACTTCTGGTGCCTGCTCTGCTTTGAATGAACTTGCCAGGCAGGGTAGAGGCATGGGCTGTGGGCTGAGTGGCCTGGGTCTCCCTGCTCTCATCTGGGAATAAAATAGCACTGCTCTCTTGGGCTGGCTGTGCAGATGAAGAGTTAATATACGTAAAGAGCTCAGGCTAGCCCTCGGTGATGGCAGGTGAGTATTAAAATCAACCTGTCCCTTCAGGAAGAGCTCCCTCTTCTCCCTGGCTTCTGACAAGATGCAGGAGCCACCTGAGCAAATACTGCCCCAGTCCCCAGGTGACCTTGTCCCCATCCCCTCCCTTTCCAACACCTCCCCTCTTCCACCCCAACAAGAACCACACACACATAAGAATATAGAATTTTATCTTATTTTAGTTAAAAAAATAATCGTACCACCGAATGAAGTAGTTTCTTCTTCTTTTTTGGTGAGAAGGGAGGAAAGAAAAAAAAAGCAATAAGCCAAAAGAATAAGAACTTTTTATATTCATCTGTATAAACATATCCGCTAAGGCAAACGCAATCCAGGGCCAAGGCTGCTGCACTGGGGTCAGTACCTCCTAATTCCTGCAGATTCTAAGGCCAGAAAAGTAAAACCTCTGCAAGTCCAACAGTTTTGTGGACTCGTGGGGGCACTTTACTAAAATAAAGAGTTACCGAGTTTAAAAAGCAGTGACGCTGTCACGACACGCACGGGAAGTTGCATAACTGTGGCCTCGGTGGCCGTTCACTTGTTTGGACTGGGGGACGGGCACAGCTTCACGACACGGCGACACAGACGCACACACACACAGACACGCACACACGTGAGCGAGCACACTGGGAGCTGCGGAGGGCGGGGCCGGGGGCACAGGCTTGGCCACGGCCCGTCTGGGGATGGGCCTGGGGAGGGCTGGGGTCCCCATGCTTCCTCAGGGGTGGGGGTGATAGGACGGGTCCCGTTGCTGGTGACAAAGCGGTCAGTGTCACTTGGGGAAGGAATGGCGTGAAAGAGCTGAGCCAGGTCCCCTGCTCCCCACCACCTGGGCCGTGCAAACCACTTAAAGCACTTCTTGGACGCCTCCTGGAGAATGGAGACGAGCTGGTTTCCTTCCCGATGAAGGGGCCAACCCCTCCCCTGCACCCTGCTTCCTCCAGAGTCCTGGGGACCCTCAGGCTGTTTGAGGGGGTGACTAGGGAGTGGTGTTTCTGCCCCCAGAGCCTTCCCTGCCCACGACCCATGGAATGGCCGGCAGAGTCAGGGCCCGTGAGGTAGATTGGCACAGCTGCCCCCTCACCCTGCCTGGCTGCCCCAGAAAGCTGGGGTCTCCATGTCAGCATGGGGTGCCAGGGGCCTGGGCCCCCTGGCCAAGATAGAAGCCCCGCCTTGATTCCAGCAGAGAGAGGAGGCGGGGCCGGAGGAACAGGTGCTGGGGTGGGGAGCCCCAGTGCCATTGATCAGCTCTAGGGGGCTGGCCACAATTCTTGCCATCTGTCGCTCCCCCAATCTAGGGAGGGGCTAAGGGCACGTGGCCTCTGTAGGGGAGAGGAGAGGGAGAGGCTCAGGGGGAGAGGAATGTGTGTGGAGGGTGGCACACCAGCAGGGGGCACCCTAGAGCTGGGAGCTGGGTGGTGAGCAGGAGCAGCTGGAGCAGGCAGCGGGCAGCCAGGGTGCCAGGGACGCAGGAGGGGCCAGGGAGGGCTGGGCCAGGCGGGGAGACAGCTGGTGTCACGGCCTCAGGAACAGTGGAAGGGAGTGGGGAGAGGCTGGGCTGCTCTGGGAGACCCCTCAGCCGGCTCGTTCACAATCTGTAGCTTTGTAGCCTGGTCCCTTCAGACAGAGCCAAGGATCAGGCTGGCCTCCAGTCTCCCCGCCCTTGCCACCCTCGCCGGCCGGGTCGGGCACCGGGGGCCAGGGCCAGACAGTCGGGCGCAGCCTCGCTACTTGAACGTGGACTGCAGCTCCTTGAAGGCCGCTTTCCGCTGTTTCAGCTCTTCCGCCTGCTTCTTCCTCTCCTCCTGCTCCGCCTTGATCTCCTCCTCGAAGCGGCTGGACACGTTGATGGCCTGGACCTGGAGTGGGGTGGGGGTGGGCGGGGGTCAGCGCTGGAGGGGGCTCTCCCTGAGGCCCCTTCTGGTTCCGCTGGCCCTGCTCACACAGCGCTGCCTCTCGCTAGCTGGGCCCTGTGCCAGGCGCTGCATCCACCTCTCTGAGGTTCAGTTTCTCCATTTAGAGCCTGATGCTCAGTAACTGACCTCATGAGGTTGTTGGGAGGATAAACGAGGGAAGATACATTTAGCGGCCGCTGCACAGCGTGGGTCCTGTAAGTGGGAGCTTCTGATGCTGCTATTCTTGCCCCGCCCCCTGTCCTGGGAAGCGCAGCTGCACACTCGGTCCCACTGATGAGCCCTGAAACATCGCCTCAACCCTAGGAGCCCAGAGGGAGGTGGGAGGCGGCTGCTAGAAGGAATGTTCTTAGCTAACAAGGGGAGGGGGAGAAACGAGGACAGGCAGAGGCCCCGGGGTCCAGGGCAGGATCCAGGAGCCATCCATGCTTGTCCCCTCCATCTAAGCGTGTGCTGAAGGAGGAGGGTGCTGTGCGTGTAGTGGCCTCTGGCACCCATCAAACTCCCTCCAAGCTGGGGCTGGCGGGGCTGGTGTCTCAGAGAGGCCCTGGGAGCCAGTGTTGTGTCTCTGGGCCTTTTCTGCTGTCTCCCAGGCCCACCCTTTAAGGCCTAGACCTTTGGGGTAGTGGCTCCATGTGCCAGGGCTGGGGCAGCTCCAAGTGGTCCCTGTCCCCTCTTTAAGAGTACACACCACTCCTTACCTACCTGCAGGGCAGGGAGAAAAAGGGGAAGCTACAAAGGATCACAGCCTCAGGGGGAGGGGCAGTGGGGACAGAAGCCAGGCGCTCCATGACCTCCCAGCCCAGCCAGGCGCCAGCTCACCAGCTCCTATCTGCGGCCTCAGCAGGGACAGGAAGAGGAAGTGCTGATCTGCGAGCTAACTCAGGGTCCTGGAATCCCCCGGCCACCCCTGTCCTCCAGCTAGGGTCAGGGCACCCCCACCCCGGGCTCCACACATCCTCCCATTTCTCACCTTAGCCTCAAAGAAGCTCTTGGCCCCCTTGACGCCCTCGGTGGAGACGTCGATCTCGGAGAGGCGGGCCAGCACGTGCAGCCCGCTGTCCTCCTGCAGCTCCCCAGCTGCGGCCTTGCGGAAAATCAGGAGGAACTGTGGCGGGAGAACAGCACGTGATGTCAGGGAGTGAGGGAAAGGGGCCCGGGCGCCTGCCCATGCCAGGGCCCAGCTGCAGGCCTCCCCCGGGAAGAGGCGGCACTCATAGGACGGGGAGCCGGAGTTCGGGGCTCTCCCCGCTGCGTGCTCTGTGTCCCTGCACTGGTCCCTGTGCCCCTCCCTCTCTGGGCCTCAGTTTGCCCATCTGTATAGTGGGAGGCTTTGGGGCCGGTCTCCTGTCCTCCCAGAGCAGGGGCTACTGCAGGCTGCTCTGTTCATGCTCAGCTCCCATCAAAAGCCTCAACCTACCTCTTTATCCTCAGTGTGTGCTCAGCCAATCTGCTCTAAGTTCCATTTACTGAATCTTAAAGGTACATGACTGTGCCCATTTCACAGAATGAGGAAGGCTGAGAGACAAGAAAAAGCCTGCCTCAAATCTTAGCACCAGAAAGTGACAGGGGGTAGGATTTGAACCCAGGTCCTCACCTTCCTCCCTGGGACTCGGCCTCCTCCAGGTGCCCTGGGCCACCCTGCTCTCGTCTTATGCTTCCTGCCAGCTCTCCAAGGCCCGGCCTGAGCCTTGTCTCTTCAGGGGCCACCCCCTGGTGTTTAACTCTTGCTGAGTGGGGACATGTGCCACTGCTATCTGGCTTTCCTCCTCCACCAAATGGGCTTGCTGGTGGTTCCTGTCTCAGAGTGAGGCCCGAGGGAGATCTAGAGGGTGAAGTCACCCAGCCCAGTGCCTGGCTCCTCTCGGACCTGAGGTGCTTGTCCCTCCCTCCATCTGTCCTTTTTCTTGAATCGCATCCTGTTACTTCACTCTTTACACATCTTCCCCTCTACACATCAGGACCCCTGGAACACAGGACCTTTCTTTGTACTCCCAGAGTCCACACAAGGTCAGGTATACAGAAGTCATTCAATAAGTGCTCACTCCATGGAAGGACAGATGTGCCTCCTTCTCACTTAAGGCATCTCAGAATCTCCCCTGGTACCTGCCCTAGGATCCGTGAAGCCTCATTCATTCAGCTATCCGCCATTCTATGCAGCTGTTCAAGGACAAGGTTGCTCAGGGACAAAGGGGGGTTAGTATCTCCCGGCCACTAAGTTCCCCAGTGTTGTCCCCCACGAGGAGCAGGGCTTACCTCCCGGAAGCTGAGCTTGCTGTCAAAGTCTTCATCCACCTCCTTGATCATGTTTTTCAGGCCCAGGTGGGTCTGTGGGGCTCCGAGTTTCTCCATCATCAGCTTTAGCTCCATCAGGTCGATGAAGCCGTCCCGGCCGGCATCATACCTGTGGGTGCAGAGAGACAGAGGCTCAGAGAGGTTAAGTGGCCTGCCCAAGGTCGCACAGCAGTAAAGGAAGGGCTTCTACTCCACGTCAGTTGGGCTTATCAGCCTGCACATTTGTGGTGCCCAGCCCCCTTCCACACATCTTTGGCTGCCAGCAGAAGAGACGTCTGCTTGGAGCACTAAGCAGAGCATTTGTTCAAGGGGTATAAATAGTTTGTGAGCAAGTGAGTCAGTGGTTGGAAGTGACGCAGCACAGGGAAGACAGGTCTCTGGGAACCCTGCAGGGAACGGGGGGTCCTGAGGTCTTTTCCCCCACCGTGGCGGGGAAGGGGCTGGAGTCTGGGCAGATGGGCCACGTGGGCAGTGGCCAGGGCCAGGGCGGAAGCAGACGCAAGAGGATGTGGTAGAGGGTTGTGGGACTCGGGAGGGTCAGGCAGGCCTACAATCCCGTGGTCCAGGCTCCACTTAGAGCTGGAGGGGCCCTGGGAGCGGGTACGGTGGAGCGCCGTCCCCCCTCCCCGGGATTCCATCTTTGGAGCCTGTTTGCCAGTTGGTAAGGGGCTGGTGGCTGCTGCATGACTTTTAGTGACAGGTACTGGAGCAGCCCGGTGAGGGAGTCAGGCTTTCCTGGGGCAAGTCACATGGGTCCCTCTCTTCATGGCCCCAAGGAAAACAAAGCCCCCGCCTCTTTCTGAACTCGGTCTCCAATGACGTCACTGATGCTGAGTCGGGGCTGGAGCAATGGCCTGGGTTCCAGGAGACCGAGCCACTCGAGCTTTCAGCCGATGCTGGGAACCCCTGGTATGACGGTGACTCTTCTGTAGGGTGACTGCGAGGACCGAGGGGGTTCAGACGTGCCAAGCACTTAGCACAGGGCCAGCACATGGAGCTGGCTCCAGCAACGGCAGCTACCAGCACTATCCTGAGGTGTCGCTATCTCTACTAAGCTCCTACCGTGCCAGGTATTTTCTCTTGACAACCTGTGTGCTCAGCGATCCTGGGAGGTCAGAGGTACGTCCCCACGTGACTGATTTGGGAAGAAGGGCTGCAGAGGTTTGGGCCCTGGCCCGATAACCAGCAGGCTAGGGATTCAGACCCCTATCTTTCCAAGTCCCACACTCTACTCTATCTACCGCCCACCTGCTCCTCCTGAGCCTCAGCTTTATTTACTGCTCAAGCGTTTCTCCCACAGCCAGGGGTGGCTCCGTTTCAGAGGAAGTGCAGATAAAGCGTCCAAACTTGGACAGAAACTTGGGCTCTAGATTTCTTGGTCTCTGGCAGCTGCCAGGCCTGGCTGGGCTGCAGCTCAAACTGCGGCCTGAACCACGGCTGATGCTGATCAAACATAAATCAATTACTGGGCCCGGGTTCCATCCCAGGTGGGCGGGCTCCGGGCCCCATGGGGCCAGTGCAGGGGCTGGCCTCAGGGCCAGAGGATCAATCACCACGGGGAGGTGACAGAAGCGGGGAGAGGCCAGGTGCTGGCGTGGGAGGAGGGGCCCCCAGAGGTGGCGACACAGTTGAGGACTGTTCCCAAGAGACCCCCTGGGAGCAGATATCCACCACATGCCCTGGCTCTGATGCGGGTGGGCTCTGGGTCACTGGATCAGCCAAGTTCTAGGATCAACCCTGGAGGCTCATGCTCACAGTACCTCTGCTGAGGCTGATCTGAGCCCAAACACCAGTTCTGCCACCTGCTGGCTAGGAGACCCTGAGCCAGTCACACGACTGTGTGAACCTCAGTTCCTCCTTTTACATCATGGTGATCAGACCCATCTCAGGATTGAGGCAAGGGTTAATGGATGATCCAAGCAGATTCTTAGCAGAGGCTGGTGCATAATAAGTACTTAATTAATACTCACTAACAACGGCACTACTACTGCTCAATTATTATTAACATCTACCTTTAGGATTAGAGATTACAGGAGATGATGGATATAAAATGCCCAGTACACAGTATGGGCTTATACCTGCTGATTTCATTATAATAGCAGCTACCGATGCTAGTTAAGTACTTTGCACACATAATATAAAAATGGTGATGATAATAATAACAGTGATAAAAAAAATACGATTCTCCCTCGGGCATCAATCCTGATGGCGCATGGCTGGGAGGAAATGCTTGTAGGCTGGCCCAGAGGCAGGGGGTGGGCAAGACGACCAGTAACTTCCCCTCCTGAGGGTCCCCCTCCCTCCCCCTATTAGGCCCGACTCAAGGACCCTGCCACTTGGGGAAGTGAGAGACCGCAGGACAGAACCTTTTGCTTTCTTGCTGGGCAGAGGGAGTGAGGAGCCTCAGCCCAGGGTTACTCTCCTTCCTGCTCCTCCTCTGAGAGGGAGGGAAGTGAGTGACAAAGGAGGAGACTGTCACTGTGCCACCAGCAGGACGCCGGCTGGCAAACCAGGAGAAAATCATGTTCTAAGATGCTGGGAAAACAGGCATATCCCCGGCTGGGAAGACCCTCTTCCCCTCAGCCCTCTCCCTGAGCTGGAACTGAGGTTGCAGGTGGCTCAGAGGACCCAGGAAGAGGGAGTCCGCTCACAAGACCTGTCTGGGTGCCTGGTCTACCCACTTCGTGTTCCATAGGGAAATTGGGGCCCAGATGGGGTAGCAAGCAGCCCAAGGTCACACAGCTGGAGACCTGCAAGATTCCAGAAGTTAGTTATAAGCCTTCCTCCCTGCCTGCCTGCCAGCCAGCTTCCCTCTTCTCCCAAGGAGGGTCCAAATTCTCAAGCCTGCAGGGCTGAGAGCCCGGCTTGGGGCCTGCCTGGGAGGGCCAACTCCATCCCGGATGACTGACAACAAAGCTCCCGGGCTGGGAGCTCAGCAATTTTCTCCACACTGGGGGGAGGCTGCTGCACCTGGCACCGTGCCCACATTCCTACCCACCTCCCCCTGAATAGTGCTCGACAGGCAGGGCTCGGCAGCTGCCACCCTGGATGCCGGTGATGAAATCCCCTCCCAGCTGCCCTTGAAAGTGGAGGAGTGGCCACCACCCTGGCAGACTTCGCCCCATCGGGCTGCAGGTCCCACCCAGCGGGCTGCTCCTCCTCCCCCAGGTCTGATAACCAGAAGTCTCAGGGGTGAGCAGTGGCTGGCTCCCCTGGTGTGCAGGGCTCGCCCCCATCAAAACAATATGATCATTAGTGGCTACTCTTAGCTGAGCACTCACTATGTGCCAAGCACCGTACCAGGTGTTTTACGTCACATCCTCACAAGAACTCTGCGAAACTGGCATCAACACCCCCATATTACAGATGAAGAGACTGAGGCTCTAGGAGGAAGTGACGTGGCCAAGCCCACAGTTGGTGAGGACATACCTTGGACTGAAACCCTGGCCAGATGAAAAAGGCACTTTTAACTACTATGCCATGTCCTGATGCCTACAGAGCCTGCACCAGAGGAACTCAGGTTGGGAGGGATATTAGAGGGCACCTCATTTAGCCGTTTGTGAGGGTCAGATTCCTAACGCAGTTTTCCTGCTTGGTGTCTTGAATACCTTTCAGGACGGGAAGGTCACTGCTTCCCTATAGCAGCCCATTTTGGCTTTGGAACTGGCCATGAGAAAGTTGCTCCTCACACATGACCCTCCCCACCCGCCAGCTGTGCTGCACAGTCTGGTGGCAGAATGAGAAGCCATCCCAGCTGTTGCACAGGGGGAGGGTGGGAACAGTTGATATGGGAGCATAGGGGACCCCAATTCTCTCCCTTCTGATTCCCATCCCAGGGCTTTGCTGATGGCCCCTCAAGAGGACAGACAGCTGGAGAGGGCAGTGTTTATGGCGCACGGAGCCCCCAGGCCCACCTGGCTTTACTCTCCACATTCACAGACCTGGTCTTCCCCACCTGCCTAGGGAGGCCCAACCGGCTCCTAGGCCTCTATTCTTTGTCCTGCAAAATGGGAAGGCAGGTTCCTTGGGGTAGGAAAACTCTGGACAACAGAAAAATTCTGCCTTTGCTAGCTGTTGCGGCCAGCTTGGCCCTGCCTGCCTCCATGTGCAGGTGGATGCCCGCCCACAGGCCTGGTGATGACTGCTGAGCAGGGCCCACCAGTTACTGCAATGCTGCAGCCCCCTGGCTGCATGACTCATGTAGGGAAAGCCCGGTGGCTCACCACTTCCTCTATCTGCGGACATTGGCACTCACTCTGCTGCCCTGTGTCAGCCCAGGAGAGGGTGTGCGATTGTATGTGGGGTACTGTGTGTCTTGCCCCGCGGCTTTCCAGCAAGTCCAAGGAGCAAGTGGAGCACCCGCCAGGCTGATGGCGATCTGCTGGGGGCTGTCAGGGCTCAGGGACATCCTAACCTCGGGTTCAAGCACCTCATGCTGAGCCCCCCAGCCCTGAAAGGGGCACCTCCCTTCTCTGGTAGTATTGGCAGCGGGTCTCCCCCAGCCCTCCCCCGCACCGCCTCCTTCCCTGCCTGCTCTTGATAATAGTTATTATAATAGGGATTTCAAAGAACATTTACCAAACGTCTAATACAACCCAGTATTTATTATTTAACTTCATCTTCCCTCTACTCATCTTGTTAGTCCCTCAATGCACAGACTAAGTAACGTGGTGGGGAGATCAGCCTCAGGCAAGTGGTGGGGAGCCGGCTATGGGCTGGCCCAGGGCTTCCTAAACCTTCATGAACACAGCTGGCGAGTTTTGTTAAAGTACAGATTCTGATCCAGTGGGCTCGGGGTGGAGTCTGAGCACCAGTGTTTCTAACAAGCCCCTAGGTGATGCTGATGGTGCTGTATTTGGGTCCCAGGGGTGTAAGGGACTTTGAGTCAGAGGGATCCAAGTTTACATCCTGTCTCTGGTCTCTGTGACCCAGTCTTCTTGTCTGTGAAATGGGTGATGGTTCTCTTACAGGACGTTGAGAGAGGATTAAACAAGAGGTGAAGTGCCTGGAATGGAGAGGCTACAGCAGTCCTCTCTCAGATGAGGCTCCGGGAGCTGGAAAGAGCCTTCAGTTGGGTTTCCACACAGCACAGGAGTCCCTGGGCCTGGT